TGATATTTGTAAACTAAAAAAACTATTTTTTGAAAAATACTCAGTTGTCGTAATGTATAATATAAACAACTTAAAATTTTTTACAAGATTTGTAAAAACAATTTACAAGATTAATACAAGATTTTGCTGTGTAAATTTTTTTATATAACTTTATAAATAATTTTTAATTATAAATAAACTTTATAAATACTTAAAGTCAAAAAAACTTATAGCAATAACTGTACAATGCTAAATGTTTTTACAAAGATGTCAGCTATGAAAATAGCTGTTTACCAAAAAGCAGCTCAAACATTTGAAGTTATACTTTTATCGTATTTGAATTTTATTTAAAACACAACTCATAAGTATTTATAACAAACTTAAAAAGGTTTGTTGCTTGTAATGTTTCAGTATTATTAGATTAAAGTTCATTTTTGAAATTCAGGCAGTTTAGTGAAATTCATCTAAACTTCCCACAGATCAAATTTAATTATAAAGCCTTTGGTTTGGAAATAATAAATAAACCTAATAAAGCCTTTGGTTAAACAAAAGACACTAAAACATATGATTTGGTCTTCCCAACTAGTATAACAAAACATTGACTTTCTGCAATTGTTTTTAGAAGAAACTGAATATTAGAAAGAAGAAATTAAAACACAGGTACTTATAACACTTCAAAATCGTATCAATCAAACATTGTGTTAAACTGAGTAATCTAGATAAAACTCAGATAGTCTAGCAAGAAACAGCGATAACCAAGTTAAAATAATTTGAAATGCAATTTTTAGGCTTGTTAAAAGCTTATTTAAAGGTGTTGATTAATAATATTTTTAACTATAGAGACAAAAACTTTTAATGCTTCAATAAGATTTAAACTATAAAAATTATCATCATTACTTGCTTGCAAAATTGTGTAATTAAAAAAGTTATTTTAAAAACATAGCTTGTCATACACAGTGCATTAATAAAATCAAAATTTGTTATTAACTTCAGTGGAAGAAGCAGTAGCAGGGGCTGCACCATTACTGACATTCTTTGAGACAAAAAACCACAGGTATAAAAAACTTTCGTAAAGTATCCATGCCACAATTTCACATTTCATAACACCCAAAGAAAAATCAGTAATAGCTTTTATTAAAATACTAAGTAAACGAGTTTTTCTTTTATGCGGTTCATCATAGTTCCTATTACGATTATCATTTCTCATAAATGATAAACAATATGGCTAATTAAAATTTATACTTAATAAGTCTAAAATCTTCTTCTTGATTATTAAAGAAAACCAAATACTAGTTTTTATCGATGCAACTATAAACAGCTTCTATTTGTAACAACTCTCTGTCTTCCTTTTTTGTATAAAAAGGATATCGTGATATCAAAATTTCTACACAATTAATATAATATTTGTTCGCCTAACTTTATAGGAAATGATGCTTTTCTTTAACATACTAACTTTTTCTTTAAAATGCTCTATTAGCTTGCGAATTAAGCGACATTTTGAAGTAATCATCGGCAATGTTATATGTTTAATAAAATTAATTAATTTAATAAAACACAAATTAAGCAGAGTGTATGGCAAAAGGGAAGTCCGAAATTTATTTTCTACATTTGAAACCTTTTTTCTCCTTATTTAGTACTTCAAATGCAAGTGATTAAAATGATACACAATCTAGTGTAATAAAACAGGGGATGTCAACTGATATATTTTGATATATACTAGTTGTTACAAACTAAGTTTACCTCCTGATGATAGTTAAACAATAAAACTTGAAAAAAATTTTACTC